CTAATCAGTTTTAATGAAATCTGTTATAATACTAAAATATAAATGCTGCTGACAGTAAATACGACAAAATTGGCAATATGGCTAGTTAGTTTTGAGCAGTTTAGATAGAAAAGAAGCAATAACAGGCAAAGGGCCAGCAATGGCCTAAACAGCAAGTAAGCCTCTACAATTTTCCACACATATACAAGAGAAATTTTAGTACCTCATATGTAATCCAAATTAATACTAAAACCTCATATTAAATTTATATTCATAAATAAATATTTTCAGAATAACATTTACAAAAATCCATAAGGAGAGAAACTAAAAATATTCAATTTCAAGGAAAAAAATGGTAAGACATAATAATAAAATCAAAAATAACACATTTCTTATATTCTGTGCGATAACGTCGTCAAGTTTTATTGGCGGTTTTATGAACAATCATAAATGTATCTAACCTAATCTGAATAAATTTTAATATTTTATTTGAAAAGCATAATATGATAGGTTTTTATTTTTATCTAACCTGTACTTACATCGCGAAAGTGTAATTATGAACAGTAGGCTTTTTATGTATTTACTCATCATACATTTTTTCATTAAACATGACAAATAAGCCCTTAAGGTACAGCATGTTTTGGGAAATTTGTACTATGTAAAAGGGATTATCGAAGGTAGAATTTTTTCTCAGTTTTGATTTAGTCTTAACCCTTAAAATACATAATAACGGTCTCGCCTACCTTAAGAAGTGCAGATGCGTGTTTTTGGAAGATATCCTTCCTTGGAATATTGCTAAAGCACGCGCTTAACTTTAGATAATAGAGATGAAAAGACGAATGGCTCTGTTCCTGAAGTAGGCAAATTTATAGTCGCCGCCTTTATTTTCCAACCTGGCTCTTTAGGGCAAGGTTAAAAGATATGAACAAATGATTGAATATAAATTAATGTATTTTTTAAATAATGTTTGTTTTTAATACTTTTTGTTTTCTTGAGTCAATAACTTTTATCGACTTCCTTCATAACTCTTCAACAACCCAACATTTTATCCCACAAACACCAATCGCTTTGTGAATTACTGTTTTTCAAGTTTTAAACACATAAATATCTTTTTAATGAACATGTTTTAAGGATTGTTGGTTTTTTTTCTTCCAAACGCAGGAAGCTCTTCGTTATCAAGGGAAGTACGACACTTCTCGCCCTATTCTACTTTTCACTTCTCCGCCTTTTTAAACTCCTCCCGAAGTTCGGTGCCAAGAAATGGTATTATAAACACCCGCATTAGGTCAAGGTTCAGTTGTAAAACCTCGAACTCTCCAAAAATAGCGATAAACTTTTTAACACACCCTTCCCAATTCCGAAGACGGTTTACCACAACATCAACATCAATCGAGTTTTTTAAAACTCAAAATATCGATAACAATTACTTATTGAACTCTTAACAAATACGTTGTTTTCTGTTATATTGCAGGTTTCCAAACACTCTTTTTTTCTAGTTATTACTTGGTTAGATAATTTTATAACTAAGTATGAATTTATTTAAAATATACACAAATATATATTTTTCATTAGTAGATTAACTTTTAGACAGACTTAAATTACATTAGTTATCTAATGGAAAACGGCTGTTTAATTTAATTTATTTGATATAATTAACGGAAAATGACAGGAATCCAGGAAAACCCAGATAATTCTGCCGGGAATGATGATCAATAATGTCATTTTGGTTTAAATTTGTGAATCACTGTTAATGGACATTTTTTTAAACTATCGACCTAATTTTTTTTTTGTAAATAAAAAATTATTTCACATTGATTTAACATTGAACGAAGAACTGCTGTTAGGATGACAAAAAGAGCTAAACTATTTGAAATTTACTGGGATCCGACGAGCGAAACTGAAAACCGAATCCAACATCATAGACAATTAAAAAGGTGTTTCGGAATTTTACGCAAAACTGATGTTATACAAATTAGTTTTTTATTTTCTACATCAGACTTTAACTACAATATTTGTACTACCACCCTTCTAAAAATTGATTTTGTATTTTGAGGTAAACTTTTGTAAATTTAAATTATTTTAATGCAAAAGATAACATCTTGATATTAGGCTAAACGTTCAAGTTAGAGACTAGATTGTTGTAAAAATTTAAGTAAATAAAAACTTATTTATTAATAGTGGCTTATAACTACATTTCAATAACATACTTAACAACCCAGTAGTGTAAAACACACTCATTTGTGTGTCTCTGTGCTCACTAACACGTCAAATTATCGAATGTGAAAAAATCCTTTTTTTTCAAATGTGATACTTTCCCATTACGTTGGAAATGATAGACGTTGTGGCAAAATCTCGAATCTCCAGCCCCTTTAAATATGCTAAAAAAGCTTTTGAAGTACAGAACGTTAACATTTTTATATGTTACATTCAAGTTATTTGAATAATATTGCATAATTTGTCATATTTGTTAGTTTGTACGAATAATATTTATACAGACTGTCAAGCAAAGCAAAAAAAAAAAAAAAAAAAAATATTATTGCCCTAAACAAAAAGATAACGACGTAACAAAAAAAAATGACGACTATGTAATTAAATTTATTTCTTCTTTTTTCAACGGTGAATATGAAAGTGTCAAAACGATGTGAAATTTGGAATTTTTGAAACAAAGAAACAGGAAAAATCACTGGCTAGCGCTCTGATGCGCAGTGAAAAATGTGATTTTTTTAGTAAGAAACAGATAGCAAACATACAATTCTTAATACAACCCTATTAAACTTAAAAACTGCCTACAATAAATATAAACTTGTCGTTGTGGCAAAGCGCAGATTTTGGATTAACTAATAAATTTTTTTTGCACACGTGAAAAACATCAATTTTCCACTTCAAAAGTTTGAAGATGATTGTACACAAATTATGCATACATTATATTCTTAAATTTTTTTAAAGAACTAAAAATTCATTATGACAAAATTCATCCAAATAGTAAAAATAATTGTGTATGTAATTACACAAATCTAAAAATATATTTTGAAAAGTTAAATTTTATAATGCCGTTTAAAAATCAATTATCTCCGTTTTTGACTAAAGACTTAATGGTTTCTTAATTCGATAATAAGATACCTTTCTTAATTTGTGGTAATAACGAATTAAACCACCTGTTTTGAAAATAAATGTCAATTTATTGTATTGTATTAGCAAACTGCACGCAATTTTTATTGATATAGAATTATTTCTAATTGAAATATTAAATTATTGTTTTTGTAATACTTGATTTAGCTGATTTAACGACGGTTTAGAACTGATTAAGTAAAATTTTTAAATTTGTATATTTTACTGACATTTTCTAACTTCCTTGTGAAAAATTTGAATGTTTTTATTTAAAAATAAAATATGCTACTCAACATATGATGTATAATTAGCAAAGTCAAGAAAATACTTTTATTTTTATGTAAACTGTCCTTTTTTATAATTAAACCAAATTGTTTACAGGGTATAGATTTCACAACAAAACTCCAGGCTCATTATTCAATTGAATGCATTTCCTACGGGCTTACTCTTCAAAACTAGAAACATTATCTCAAAGTAAAGTTATGATTAATAAAATTCAGTGAAGACAATACATATTAGGGGTACATAAATGGCTCAAAAAATGTAACATTTGTAAACATTTCTCATATGTTGTACGGTTAAAAATATCTATATGAGAAGGTTACTCAGCTAAAACATTAATTAACAACTGTACTTAAATGTTTATTTTATTTATTTTCTATATGTATGCACATACATAGTGACAACAATTTTCAATATAATTATTGATTAATGATTTTAAAATAGTTAGAAAATTTGGCTAATTTGAACTGTGTAAGCTTACTTCATATAAAAAATATTATTTTAGAATAAGACCATTCGCTTATAAATTTTACATTATTTTGGTCATTTCTGGACCTTTATTATTTAGGTTGTTTTGTTCTCTGTTTTGTATAAAATATTTTATTGATTATAACGTTACTATGAAATAATGTTTATAGTCCTGAATTGGAAGTTCCTTAGGCTTAAAAAAAAATGCATTTAATTGAATAGATGATTTTTTTTTTTTTTTTTCATAAAAACCCTACATGCGGCATGTTGGGACAACACCTACGTTCAAATTAAAAGAAAAAATGAATTCTTCTTGTTTTGTCTACACTCTTTTATAAGAAGAAAATATTTGTGTAAACGCTTTACTCATAAAAAACCAATAATTATTTAGAAAATTTTTTGACTGTTTTAATTGAATAAAACTAACGTTTCTCAAATCCAATTTGTACTACTTTCAAGAAATGTATACCTTTGTTAGTAACTGTGAGGTAATTTCGCGTCATAAGAATATCATAAAATATTTTGTTTTTTGCCCCTTGATCAAACATTACCAAATATAACGCAAAATTTCTTATTTGTTGTCCATTTTTGTTTGACAAGGGTATGTTGTTTTATTCATTTTCAAAATTTTATGTGTAATTCTATAATAGGACTAAAAAATATTCTGATTTTCTTACTTTCATTATTAATTTAAACTGATTTTGCTGTTAGTTTATCAAATACATTTTATTACAAAATATTTAACGTACATTCTTGTTAAGTATGTCAGCTAGTAAAGTTTCATTTTTGAAGGTGACCTTTTCTGTTTTAAGCCTTTTATTCATATCAACATAAAAATGTATTTTGTTTATGCCATTAGTAATTTAGTCCATACTTTTAAAAGGATTATATATTTATTGTTGTTTTTTGAAAGCAAGGTTGATATTTTTAAAGTAATAATCTATAAAAAAAATTATGTTATTATCATGACCCTTTTTTTTTGCAAGACGAGTTCCTGCAAATTTTTAAAAATAATTTTTCCTTCAACCTATACACTACGAAAGAGAAAAGTGTGTTTCTCTGAAAAATCAACGTTCAAGATTTTTTCAACTGTCAGGAGTCTTTTGTAGTTTCATTTATTTATTTCTTGTTTAATATTCTTTGTTTTTTTGGTTTGACCTGACCTGATATACTTCGGTGGTCTCCATTTTCCTGCTATTGCTCCGACGTGAACTTCATGCTGCGTCACTTAAGTTTTTTTTTTATCGGGGAAGGGGTTGGTTCACCAACTGAGAGTTGTAAGCTCTCCGAATGCTGGGGGTGGACTGAAAAGGGCTCGTAGCCTCCGACAGGCATCCCCCGGCCACGGCCACCCCCGCCGCTAAACCCATTCTTCCTTATCAACCCGCGGCTGCGTTTGTAAACAAGTTGAATTTTAATTTTTTTTTTTTGTAATTACCTCATTTCGTTGAAAGTGGAACGTATATATAACAATAATTACAAAGTCCTTGTATGTTTATTTCTATACGTTGTTTTATTTTCTCGCATTCAGTCAACTCACTCAATATTCTTCTTTCTGAAAACGATCAATTTTTAGAAAAGTCGTTAAACAAATGTTTTCACAGTACAAGCCAAAGGTTTTTTCTTTTGGAATCCCCTTTTCTTTTTTCTCGTATTTCATCGTCCTCTCATTCTCTCTTTCTCTCTCTCTCATTCTCTCTCTCTCTCATATATATATATATATATATATATATATATATCGAATTATTTCTCTATCTATCACTCACACACTCTCTCTCTCTCTCTGTATATCTATCTATCTATCTATCTATCTATCTATCTATCTATCTATCTATCTATCTATCTGTCTGTCTGTCTGTCTATCTATCTGTCTGTCTGTCTATCTATCTATTTATCTATCACTCTATCTCTATCTATTTATTTATCTATCTCTTTATTTATCATTTTCTATCTCTTTCTCATTTATCTTTCTTTTCTTGGCTGTTGTGGTGTGTAATCTAGGATCAGAATATGTATGTATGCATAAAAGATTTAACGTAAGAACATTTATTTCTAGTCATCAAAGATATGTATATCCTTTAAAAAGGAAGAAACGTATTTGAAAACTACAGGCCCAGTTTTTCTATCACACGTTCTATGAATGATTTAATACTCTGCAAAAAGAAAACTGTGAATCGCAGTTGTCTTTAATTATTGCGCCAATCGATTCAGCATGGTCGTTACCGTTGAAAATAAGAGTAAATATGTCGAAAAAATGTCGGATTTTTTTAAATCTCTGTGTATGTGTGTGTCTGTGTCTCTGTGTACAAAAAAGATTATCGATAAGAACACTAATATATTTTCGTTAAATCAATATCATTGAAAAATGAAAACTAAGCATGCATGGGGTAGGTGTGAGTGAGTTAAGTCGTGGGTTTAAATGTTTGGGCATAGAAAACTAAATATATGAATAGTTTTCAATTAATTAAGATTTTTGTTTATATAAAAAAGTCAGTATCAAAAGCGGGATTCGAACCCAAAACCTTCGGCTAGATACGCCGCTGCTCTACCAGTTGAGCTATCGTGACCTCGATCCACTCGGACACTAACTTCCCATCTCGACCTCACCTTTTGTGAGGTCACATTTTCTCTCCTTTTTGCCATTTTCATTTTTATCTCAACCAACATCTTAATTAATTGAAAAGAATTCATTTGATCAAATGGACCACGAAACCTAATAAAATATATGAATAGTGTTAAATGGTGAAAAGAAATGAATTTACAAAAATAGCGAGAAAAAATGGTACAAATAATTATATTGTTTAAATATTTGACAACACACCCCTGTGGTGGGATAGACAAATACAGAGAAGTTAAAATAACATTTTATTTACAGCCGCAGAAATCGGTATAAAATCTGACCACTTTTACATACACTCAATGTAGCGTCTCTTCCTTTTTTTGAACGACGTACAGATCTCAATTACGGAAATAAGTGTTCTTAGGTAAAATCTTTTCTTTTGGAATTTTGTCTAATTTGATCACATGAACTTCCAACGACAACTGAAAGAGAAAGAAAGAGAGAGAGAAAAAAACTTTATTATGTCCTGGGAAGAGATTCCTTTAAGGACAACACCATAAACAATACAACTACATAAAACAGCTCTCTGAAAGTTAGAACAATACTTCAAAATAGAATGGTAGAACAATGTCATATTAACAATGTAATAATATAATAATATATACAACAGATACACATAATATACACAACATATATCCATGCATACTCGTACATATAGGAATATATACATATATATGTATACACATATATATATATATACAATATACAACATAAAACATACATATAGTACATATATTAAAACAACAATATATATAACGTAATAATACAATAATAATATATACAGCAGATGCATATAATATACACAACATATACCCATGCATAGTCGTACATATACATATAGGAAAATATATATACATATATATGTATATATACATATATATAATATACAACATAAAACATACACATTGTACATATATTAAAACAACAATATATATATAACGTAATAATATAATAATAGCAATGTAATACCAAAAAAATTTTATTATTTAAAAATTTTTATTAATTAATATTTAATCTTTTTCGAGAGAGAGAGAATAAGTGAGTGAGAGAGAGGGTGAATGAAAAGAGAAAGGAGAGGAGACAGAAAGAGAGAGAGAGAAGAGTGATAGAGTGATTTAAAAAAAAGAAAAGAAAGTATAATGTACATAGATGAAAAATGGATATAAAAATAAAAAGAGTTAAAGAGAGAAAATTTAAGATTTTGATATAAACATAAAGGGCGTTAGGAAGAGAAAATAAGAGAAAGAGAGGAGAGAAAGTGAAAATGAAAAAATATGTCAGTCGACTCAATGGACCGTCGGTCCCCGACAGAACAATTCTTTTCCAAGTTTTTCCAAAAGGAAAACAAGAGCCGGGAAAAAGGAATTATCCAACTACACACGTAAAATAAAAACGTATATTTGACCTTACGAAATCAGATAAAAACTATATTTACAAAAAATGCCGTGTGATTGAAACAAACTAAAAAAATGTCTTGTTAACAAAAAAATAAACAAAATTCTTCTTAAGAAAAAACAACACAATTTTAACATTCGATCAATTTTAAAGAAATACTATTTACAATTACGCTTAATTAAAAGAAGGAGCGGGCATACTCCCTGAGGGAGCAAGGATCCAGGAATTTACAGAAAAATAAAGGATTTGGCTCACCGTTGTCGACTCGCTCGTTTCCAGCCATACAATGACCTTTTCCCCGCTTTTCTTATCCTTCTCCCGGGGAAGAAGGTCCCCACCAGGGTTGTTTTTATTGCAACTTTGCACCCTTACAAATGAATGAACGAAGAACAAGAAGATACAGAATTTGGTCTAACAAATGGACCATCCAACGCCAACAGAGACAGATGATAGATAGTTGATAAAGATAATAGTATGTGAGAGAGAAAAAAGAATCTTTACAAGTCGATAACACTTGTTTGCCATAAAAAATAAGTACATGTTGTCAATCAAGGACAGTTATTTTCAAGGGGAATATAGTGATCGGTAAACTTGTGGTAACCAAAAAACTCCGAGAAACCCCATCACACAGGAGAGATCATAACTCATTTCGGAATGTGTTTCTATACTACAAATTCAAAAATGAAGATATGGTCAATGGTGGGATCTGTTAAATTGCTATTTATAATTTCGGATAACGCATTGCATGGAAGCGAATGAAATTTCCAGTTAATGACCAAGTCAAGAATGTCAAGAATGATAACAAACCACCTATAAAACTTATTTTTTGTAAGTTACAAGAGTATAGAGTTAGAGAGAAATAAACTATAAAATTAAATAGATCAAAAAATAAATATTCGCATATGCACTGAGTGTGTGTTTAATGTGTTTATTATTTAAACCAACATTTAGCAAAAACATATTTTTCTTAGAATTTAAACTGGCTGTTCTACTAAAAAAATTATGCAATGTAGACTGAAATATTTATTCAAAAATGTTTTAGCTAAAACACTGATTTTCGCTGGATCAAAGGAGTACCTTTGTCTCAAATTTCCGTTAAAGTATAAAGTTAAGAAAAAACTAAAGTTGTTGATTGATCCTTTTCATATTTATTTAGATTTGAAGTCAATCAAATTATTATATAATTAACTTGGTTCGCCTACAAAATCAAATCAAAAGATAAAGAATTTAAACAGCTATGTTCAGGAGTCTCTTTAAACGGATGGATTTATTTACAGTGAAAAGGCATGTTTAACATGGTATTTGATATACGTTAGGTTTGAAGAACCGAACGTTTCATTACTAGGCATAACCAGATTGAGGGACTGTATTAAATTTACCCTCTCCAAACAATTTGCATGTTAAAATCCTCAAACGTAAACAGCTTTCAACGAAATTAGTTTGTTTTAACATTTACAAATTAAATTTTAACCGCCAGGTACGCGTACGCAGTTTTAAAATGGTAAAATCCCATATTATGTAAAGGAAAAATGATCAGGAATAAAGTAACGGCAAATGCATTTTTGAGGGCCGGCTCATGGGCTAGAGGAGCGCGTAGATTTATCAAAGGAACAGCCGCGGAGGCCCAAGGGGGTTTCGCAGGGGTCAATAATTGACATTGAGACGGACTGTTTCCTTCCCAAGGACCGGCCAGAGCTTCCTTCCCAGAATTAAATCTCACCTTTCGATATAAAAGATTAACCCTGCATAACTATTAAAAGTTTATTTATGATGGGTTTTTGAAATAATATTCGAAAAATAATTCAAATTTATTCTTGTAATCTTTTAATAAGATGTAAAACACGTTTACCTTTAAAAGTTAAACATTTTTAGCTAGTATAATTATTTTTTCGTGCATTTATTATTATTGTCTTATTAAATTTAGAAAACCTTTCTCTTTTTGCAAAACAATATTTACTTTCACTTACTTGATGAAAGAATGATGGCAGCGTCTGTGGGCGGGGTCGTCGGAGAGGCTCTTGCGAGTGAAGAGTACGACCGGTAGATGGCCCTCAGAGAACCTGAGCAGGAGACGAGGGATCGTCCTCACCCGGCTGAGGATTGGCCATACGCGGTTGGCATATGGGCACCTGCTTTTGGGCCAAGGCCCGCGCAGGTACCCCATATGCAGAGAAAGGTTGCTCGATGTGTCCCACATACTGGAAACATGCCATGCCTTGGCTCCATACAGAGAGCGTGTAGGCATGCCGCCGGACTTCAGAAGAGTTCTCGAACA